TATTCTATTCTATTCTATTCTATTCTATTCTATTCTATTCTATTCTACTCCCTTAGCCATCATCATATGTAACAGTTATCAACAGCTAAGATATTCCCAGTCACTGTCATTTAATGTTTTCATTATTGTTTATATATTTGTTGGTTACTGACTTTTTAAATCTTCCCAGTAGAGGAGCTCATCTAAGTTAACATATTTATATTCTAGGCAAAATTGGCTTCAGGAACTCACGTTTTACCTTAAAAAAACAACAACAGAAAAGCAAATTGTTTTTTTTTTCTTAAATAGCACAGATTCTTCTTGAGACCCAAATTTCACATGCTGGGCATCTCAGGAAAAAAAAAACTTTCTTTTTTTTCCTTCCTAGCTTTTATACCCTCCTCTTAAGCTCAAATGACTCCCAGAATAACATATTATTGCAATAAAGCTCAGTTTATCCTTTCACTTAGACTTATAATTGAAACAGATGCAACATTAAAAAAAGGGAAAGGAAGAGGAAAGAGAAAAGAGAAAAGAGAAAAGAAACATGGTGACGTGAGCAATAATTTTTAATAGCATTTATGCTGATCACAATATTCAGGGCCAGTACTTAGACAGCCAACATTTCCCCAGATATACAGAAGGCAAAGGGTTTTTACAAACGTGATATAACCTTCACGATTTATAGAAGGAAACAAGAATTCTTTTTAAAAAACAATAAGAGGATAGTGAGACTCTATAGATAGCCTATGTTTGTGGATGCTGAATAGTGAATTTGGAGAAGTAAAGGCATCTAAGATAGGGGAGAAAATGAAATACTGTAGAATTTCTCAGTAGAAGTCCTGTCTGAATCAACAGAACAGGAAACATGAGGACTTCACATTAAAACATCTGGAATCTGGATTCTTTGCCAGTGCTGTCAGATGAAGGAAACAGCTAAGGAACAAGGGTCGACTTGGGAGTAAAGCCACAGGTGGACCCATATAGCCCATAGGGAATAAAACAGGAGCAAAAGAAGAGTGAACAATGAAAGGAACAATGAAAGGAAGACATGCCTATTTCTAACCCTTGTTTAGTGAAGTATGATGCAATTCTCAGATAGACCCAGTTGGTTCCTATAGCATATCCAAGCCAAAAAGGAAAACTAGAAGATTACCTACCTCAGCACTACCTCAAAGTCTTGAATTGTCCTGTGGTGTCTTCATCCAAAACTCCATGTTGTGGCCTGTCAGCGGCCAGCAGAGCTGGCAGCAGACTCGAACAGTGAGGAGGTTGGGGAGGAACATGGGCCGGTCCTGGAGTCTGGGGAAGGCTCTGATGAGTACTCTGCATCAGAGGAAGAGGTAGGGCCAAGGCCATCTGACAGTTATCAGCTGCCTTCGTAGTTGGACATCAGTGAGGCAGAAGTACAACTGGAGCCTGTTCCCAGTGTGCGTATGTGCAGAGTTGCCAGATGAAGGAAACAGCTAAGGAACAAGGGTCGACTTGGGAGTAAAGCCACAGGTGGACCCATATAGTCCATAGGGAATAAAACAGGAGCAAAGGAAGAGTGGAGTTTTGCAGTTTTTCCTGGGTCAAGGGTGACAATGAATGACATGTCTCAGAGTTGGCTACACCCAGGCAATGCCGCAACTTTTAACTCCCAATAAATCCTTTTGAAGTTTTGGAAATCTGGCTCGAGACTCATGATTTAAATGGGGTTGAGTGCTGGAATCCTGACACTATCCTGGAAAAAAGCTATCATCATAGTTGCTAGGAGTCAAAAATGACCTTGTGGCACAGAATAAATCAAATTATTTCATTAAAAAATTCAGAGGTTATATGTTATCTCATGACAATGGATATGGAGACAAAAGGGTAATAGTTGTGGCATCATGAGCAAAACCCATTTTGTACATGGAAAAGGGTGATGCTGTAACTTATTTGACCCTCTGTTCTCCACCAATGCTATCCCATGCTTCTTAGTGAGGCTCGTTCTGTTGCTCATGTTCGCAGTTAATAATTTGACATTATTTTAATGTCTCAGTGTCTTTCTATAAGCAGAAAGAATAGCACTTATGTGCCAGAGCATCTGTGTCTTCCAGCAACGGCTGCCAATGTAAGTGTGAATGAGTCCATGAACAATCCAGCAAAACTTGTTGTCATGTTCAAGATATACGTTTTCTTTAAGAAGTTTTATAAATGCCAATTAAGTTCTTGGCTGAGAAAAAAAAAGTATGAAAGGGTGACTACCTCTCTGAAAATTAGAGAAAAACTATCACATCGACACACAAAGAACTGGTCTATAGATACTCATCTAAATTGTTAATTACCTACCTGACAGCAAAATCCAAGAGACCACATTGAATTAATCAATGGGTTTAACTGACAACTAAATATTCAGGAAAGGCTCCCAACTTAAGCTTACATTGGAAGAAAGACATCTGTTTTTCTTTCTTTCTTGTAAAATTGCAGAATTCTTCTGTTTTCCCCCCACCAAAAAAAAATCCTATGCCAAAGCAATCATTAATGCATCCAACCATATTTTTGTTCATTTTAATTTGGAGGAATAGAATTGGTATCAGGGATTTCCCCCACTCCATCCCAATAATTCTTTATCTTGTTCAGTTATCCTTAGCTAATCATGTCTGATATTTCCAAAATAGTTTTGCAAGAAATGAACTTGTCCAGGATGTTGCTCAACAGGAATATTTTTGTATAATATTCCTGCTTCCATAATTTATCAGTTTATGTGCCAAGTGATGCAACATCCGGAATATGTACATTAATTGACCTATTTTCTTCTCATTGGATCTGGGAAATGTGTGAGCATAGAACCTTTTTAAGACTTTGGGAAAACTGGGGGCAGAATATTCACATAAATTTGCTTCACCACCACCTCTTTGTTTTCCACCTGTTGGAAGAAATATCCATATGGGTTCAGTTCCAAGTGGGGAGAAAGACTCTGGAAACATTGAGACTGATTGAAAAGATGGTTTATTGATGGACAGGACCACATAGGTTTTAGGTCCTCAGCAGCTGAATACATGGAGGAGATATAGATAGATAGATAGATAGATAGATAGATAGATAGATAGATAGATAGATAGATAGATAGAT